CAATTCTCTCGAATATTTTTTTGTAAAATAAACATAATCAATATCTCACAATATAAAACTTGTATAATTTGCTTGAGAGTGTAAGCTGCGGATCCACAACAACTTTTTCACCCATTCCTGAAAACATATATGGCAACAACGGATCTCGCGCTAAGGGCACAAAAGCAAGTGCTAGCGCTGCGCCAATGCTGCTGGTTAGTAGATTTATTGCCATCACGAGAGATTTCATGGATGGTGGGGACTATATAAAAGCCATATTAAGAAAATAATAGCGAGTAATCATGAATCAAGATAATCGATAAAGTACCTTTGAGTACGCATAATCGAGACTTGTAATCGCTAAGAAAACTATACAAAAGAATCATTTAATTTTATATCACATGTAAAAAAATTCGAGAAATAAAAATTACCTTCAGAAAATGCAACTATCACATAAATAGGTGCCTGCCACCAAACACTAATATAATTCGGGACTTTACTGCCACCACTCTCAATGTCACACCGCGGAAACTGATAACAAGGTGGCATTAAATAAATAATATGTTGAAGAATAGCCGCAAAACTCATCGCCACAGTAATAAGCATAAACCCGATGAAGATTCGTGTAATTGGCGATGGCTCCATATGACGTCGTCTCAACATTGGATAAAATACTTTATCCATAAATGGGATTAAAATTATTAGAGCAACGTAGTCGATTTGGCTCATCATGTCATTTGGAAAGATGCCGGTTTCCATTGTGGCTGCCTGTGAGATCAAGTTACTTGACATTTGACCGTAACACATCCAATAGATTGATAGGAATAGAAGTACTTTGGAGGCTTGAATTGTGGTTCGGAGTTCTTCGACGAATTTATCATCCCATATAATATTTGAATGCTCGTGTTCTCTTTGTGGAATTTTTGATGGTTTTGTGTTTTCGAAGTTGAATCCACGAGCAATTGCCATACGAATAACTAAAATTGATTTCCATAATTGCAACCCACTAGTTTTTGTTTCTATAAACCATCGGCGACTCCAAGAGTATAAAACTATTCCAATAGAGAAGACTAGTGCCATTATAAGAAAAGCCAACCAAAAGGAATGATATTTCTCGATATTTGTTGTAATAGTAGGTGCCAAATAGCCGATCGCCAATGTAAAATACAAATAATGATAAATAGAAGAGAGTGTAAGCTGCGGATCCACAACAACTTTTTCACCCGTTCCTAAAGTACGAATAAATTTTTTTTTTCGTGGATACTGTTCACCCACCATCACCAACGAAACAGACTGTAACCCATCGCCAAGTCCAGTCACTATAATACCCACGATCAGACCCGGATACGCGACTCCAGCTTTGATTGCTGCCGGCGTCGAAGTCACCGTCAATATCAACAAACCCGAAATAAAAATAAAACTGAATACTATTATCGTGTAAAATTTGATCAGATATCTGTCGGCTATTATTGCTGCTATTAATGGAGTGCCCCATGACCAGAATTGAAAGAAAGTTGACCAAGCGGTGGCTGTTTGTTGTCCTTTACCTAGTGCACCTGGTTGATCTCCGGGATGTTTGGGTGATGGAAATTGAATGTAATTTTGGAAAATAAAAGTTGATCCGGAATATGCAAAAGCTTCTATGAAAGCGAATGCGATATTGTACCACGCAGCTATTTTGTTAAAAATAACATCAATTTTTTTGCTTTAATTTTTGATTAACGAGCCTTTTTAGTTTTTACCGGTTGGTATTCGATCCGAAACTCTACGTAAAGATTTTAGTTCTATTTCCGTAGGATAGTGGTG